ATCTCTTAGAGGGGGAAACTTGGACATGAATTCTTGGCTGACCACTTTGGCCATATGAACCATCCCAGCCACTTCTTCCCTCATTACTCTCTTCTTGGACAAAAGAAAAAAAAAATGAACTTACTGTTTACATCCTTCTCTGTGAAACTTGAAGTGATTTGACTTTTCTGACAACTTCAATGTTTCAAACACTCTACCTTGGATCAATTATAGGAATGAAGACTAAATATGAGTCTAAAACAAGAAATAAAAGTACTTCCCCACGCCAATTTATAGAAGGAAAAGAACAATGTGGCCCAATCCAACTGGCAGACAGCAGCCTAGGGAATCTCCTACTTGCAGAAATGCAGAGTCATGAGGTCCCTCAAGTGGGCCGATGGCCCAGGATCCAGTTAGACAAATGGGAGCGTGGGCTCACAACATTTATTTCTTCAAGAGTGACCTAAACATGCAATATTTATCATCCTTTCTGGGTGGAATGGGGAACAAGCCAGCCATTTCAAATAGGTCATGACTCATGGGTTTTAAAAAAGCAGAAATTCCTATTGTTACATATTTTTATAAACGTTTAAGAAGTGATAAAACAGCTGCTGCTGTCAATAACCTACACAGAATATACGCCTATAAACATGCCCTCCCTCCACTGCCAAAGCTGGTGTCAAGCCAGTGTTATTCTACCTCTGGTTACAAGGTTGGGGCCCTAGTTTCCTCAGGATCATCAGTATGTGTGATAGTTCATTTTTAGGTGTCAACTTGACTGGATTAAAGAATATTTAGAAATCTGGTAAAGCATTATTCTGGGAGTGTCTGTCAGGATGTTTCCAAATGAGATCAATGGGTGAATGTGGATGGGCTACACAAGGAAGAGTTCCTCAACGTGAGGGGGCACCATCCAACAAGTTGGAGGCCCAGAGAGAACAAATACAGAAGGTGGACTGGTCACTTCTAGAGACTTTTTCTTTCGTTGCTTTGGATATAATAACTCAAGGCTTGCCTGCCTTTGGACTCCAGGACTTACACCAGCCTCGTCCCTCTCCTTGTTCTCAGGCTTTCTGCCTTGAACTGAGAGTTATACCACTGACATCCCTGGTTCTGAGGTCTTCAGACTTGGACTAAGCCATGCTACCAGAATCCCAAGTTCTCCAACTTGCAGATGGCTTGTCATGGGACTTCTCAGCTACCATGACCATATGAGCCAATTCCATGATATAGCCCCTTTTATATATCTATATACATATTCTATCGTTCTGTCTCTCTGGAGAACCCTAGCTATCCAGAAACAGTAGATATGGGAGCTGACCGACTTCTAAGGTGTCCCCCAATGGTTCCTCTTCTTGGTATTCATACTCTGTCATCTCTATTTGAGTGTGGCTGCACCTAATGATCAGCTTTTAACCCACAGAATATAACAGGGGTTACAGGATGTTCTATCTGTGATTAGGTTACAAAAAAATAGTGACTTCCAGTTTGCTAATTTTTTTTTTAAGCTTTGAAGAAGTCAGCAGTCATGTTGGAGAAGCCCAGTGACAAGCTGTAAAAAAACTGAGGCACTCATTCCAACAGCCCTTGGGAAACTAGATTCTGCCCACAACTACATGAACTTAAAAACAAGTCTTTTCCAAGTCCGACTTTCAGAAGAGACCCCTGGTCTTGGCTGACACCTTGACCACAGCCATATGAGAAACACTAAATAGCAGAGCCTTAAAGCTGTGCCCAGTACCTAGCCCACAGAAACTGTGAGATAATAAATGTTATTTTGAGCTGCTAAATTGTGGGCAACTTGTTACACAGCAGTAGATAACTAACCCAGAAGGCAATCCAGGGCCTGGGTTTGCATCTGATGCACACTGCAGCCAAGGTACCCTGCTCTTCTCCTCCTCAGCAACAGCTGATAAAACATCTGATAAGGTACAAGCTCCCAGAGGGCAGGGACAGGGTCACCTTCATGGTTCACCATCGTATGTCTGCTCAGCAACCGGCATTTGGTAGGGACTCAATAAATGTTTTAATTGATTAACAATTTCAATTAGACTGAGGACTAAAGAGATAAGAAACTTTCACTTTCAGTTCAAAGTGTACAGTATTTGTTCCTTAAAAAAGAAAAGGAAAAAAAGAACAAAACCAAAAGCATGGTGGCCACTTGGATGGAGAGGCAAGTTGGGCACGTCCCGCTCCTGGCTGAGCTGTCTGAAGCTGGACAGCACTGCTGTTCCTCCCACTCAATGGCTCATCTTTATGGTGCTTGTGTCCTTAAAGGCAGAATCAGAATCCCAGGGAGAAGGGGTATTCCATGGGAACCTGGCTCCACTCTCCCAGAGTACATGCAGTTTTTGCCATGGCTCAGGCACTTCTTCCCCTTGACCCACCTTCATTCCTTCTTTACTTGGCAAACTCCTAGTCATCCTTTAAAACCCAGCCTGAAACCTGCTCCTCTGGCTCAAGTTTCTCTGGCCCTGCTCACTCCCTGGTGCCTTCCCTCTCCCTCCCATTCTGCTCTTGCTGAGCCTACAGGACCATAACAAACCACATGCCTGTCTCCCCTCCAGCCAGGAGCACTCCAGGGCTCAGAACTGGGGGCATGCACTGAGCTGTGACCAGGCAGACTGGTTCCCCCCTCTGAGCCCAGAGAGCTACAAAAGGTCACCATTTTCACACTCTCTCAGGCCTCCAGTGTAGAGGCAGGTCTAACCTTCCCCAGAATAAAGAACAAGGGAGAAGCAATAGGAAGACAGCTGATGAGCAGAAAGTATCCTCCTGAGCAAATGTTCCAACCATGTGAACTTCAGCAGGGGGTGGCCAGAGACAGAGGCAAGCGGCTGTGGAAACACCTCAGCAGATTGAAGGGTCATTGGTGCAGTGGGTCTGACGGTAAAGTAACTGTGTCATCACTGGTTTGTGTCTACTGTCCTTGGATCAAGAGAAAACAGCCCCTCCATGAAATGTGGAAACTGGTAGGTAGGACATTAGGAGGATCTACTTCAGAACCAGAGTGGATGGACTCCTGAGGCTGGAAGATGCACAGCCATGGTGGGGCCCCAAGAACCAAGGGAGCTGTATTACCATGTGCTCCGGCAGCTGGAAGCTAGGACTGTGGGAGGGACTCCCGGTCAGCTCTTCTCTGACCAGGTCATACTTAGAGAATCAGAATCACCCTGAGAACTCCGCAAGAGAGGTGTGGAGATCAGGTCAGGAAATGCGATCAAGGCGAGCTTTGAAGCATGATGATCTTTGGGGACAAGAAGGTTAAATAAGCAAGATATAAGGCTGCAATGGTCACACAACTGCATTCACACTCACACACACACACACACACACACACACACACGTACTTCAAAAAGTTTGTGGAAAATGGAAGAGGTTTTTCTCAGTACAAAAATTTCTAAAACCCATGCACAGTTTTTTAATAATATACATTTCCATGAACTTTGTGAAGACATCTCCCCCCACCATCCCCCCCCACACACAGATAGATATATAGATCTCCATAGCAAAGAAGTCTAGAAGACACCAAAATATAAAGAGTAGTTATCTGGGTAACAGATTATAGCTGTTTGATAACAATTTTCCTTTCTGATTTTCCAAAATGTCCACACAAACATGCCTTAATGCTATAATTGGCACAGATGTACGGTATCTGAGGAAGGAATCAGGAATCCATGCTTCTCCTAGCTTCCGGGGGAGGCCAGCAATGCTTGGCTCTTAGCGGCATTCTCTCTCTTCACATGGTGTGCTCTCCATGTCTTAGGGTGGGGCAGGGTCTACCCTAATCTAATATGACCTAGTTTTAACTTGAGTATACCTGCAAAGACCTATATTCAAATTAGGTCACAGGTACGCATTAGAATTCCCTCACATCCCTTTGCAGAGACATAATTCAGCCTGTAACAACATGTGGTTAGCCCCAAGAAACATGAGACACACAGGGCTGGGCCCCTGTCTTTATGTATCTGGTAGGACTCTCATTTTGAAAGGGTTGGACTTGGTGTGTATGTCTCTGCAGAGACAAAATGGACCAATAAGTGGATATTCCCAAAAGATAGACCTGGTCTCCAAACAAGAGAGCTGTCCTGAGCATGACTGGCCATCGTGGGTAGGGCATGCCCCTATCTCAGGGGGGCTAGACTAGGCCTTCCCGCCATCTCTGAGGTGGTGGTATTTTTTAAGGTCCTGGGAGCCCTGAAAGTCTGTGATCCACACAGGCAGGTGTCATTAAGATTTAAGAATTGTGGGGCCAGGAGGTGGCATGGTCATTAAGGCACTGGACTCCCATGGGGCTGACTGTGGTTGAAGTCCTAGACTAGGCGGCTTGCTTTCTCCCTTTCACACACTCTCTCTCTCTCTGTCTCTCCTGGTGAGCACGCATGCTCTATAGCAAATTAAATAATAATAATAAATAAATAAAATAAAATAAATAATTTTTTTTTTTTTTAAGAAATGTAAGCATCACTTTATGCTGACCAGGCTGCTACCATGCTGTCTGTTCACTATCACACCAGCCTTGTCTCGTACATACTGGGCACCCCGATCTTAAGTGCAAAGCACTGTAGTCAGACATTTCTGTATCTTCTGGTCTCTCCAGGAAAGATGGGGATGCACGTTATGGGCTGATAAGGACAAAGGCATAAGCCAATCGGGAGACATGGAATTCCAGGAGTTAAACCACACAGAGGACCCCAGCACTCCTAATTCTAAGGGTGTCTCCCAAGTCCTAAAGTACCCAAGGAACCATCCCATGTCCCTAGGTCAAACCTGACAGAGGCTCAAGGCCCAAAGACCAGGGTCAGACCAGCTAAGAACACAACCAACAATTTGTTTAAACACAGTGAGAACCATCCCAAGAATAACATTTACATAAGAAATAGCAGCAACATTGCAAGTCAAACTTGCTTATTTATTTATTTTTTAAAGAGGCAAAATCTTGTTTGTGATAAGAAAGAAACACTGTTCTTCAACAGTGTCTTTTCCTGACACCCCAGTACAAAACATCTAAAACCACTCACCTCTCCACAGGGTCCCTGAGCATCACAATCAGTTTGGCGTTTGGCTGGAAGGCATGGATGAAGTCCTGGGTCAGAAACGGGGGCTCACCATCCGTGCTGTTGTCATAGAAGAACATCCAGGCATTGTTGTCCCACATGGTCGAGGCGCTGGCCTCCCCTGGGAACAGAAAACACTGCCGATCAGCAGGTGTGGGTTTTAGGCCCCCAGCAAGGGGGCAGTGTTTTGACCTGTGTGTGTCAGAGGTCAAACCTGGCTCTGGTGCCTTCCTCCTACATAGCCAAAATGGGCAAGAAGGGTCAGTCACAGATAGGAAGAGGACTGATGCCTACCCTGCCACAGTGACACCCACCCCTACCCCACCCCAGGACGCTGTCGGGAAACTCAGATGATCCACACGACACTGAGTGCCCCTTTTCCACCAGCTCCTCTCTCCAGGGTGGGCAAAAATAAGACCTTTACTAGCATCTGATCTCTCAATTTCACAACATTTAACTTTGCTCACAGTACAGAGCTCTGGGGCATTTTGAAGACGCACTGAGAATGGGGCCATCTAATATGATGGTTTCCTTCCTTCAAGAAGCATCAGGGGGGGACCAGCAGTTAGCATAATGGCTGTGTCACTGGACTCCCACGTAGTCGACCACGGTTCGCGTCCCAGACCTGGTGGCTTAATAACTCACGCCGGTCGCATGTGCGTGTGTGCCCAAGATCCCGAGAGGAGAATGGAGGAGAAGGGACTGCAGCGTGACCATCCCCCCTGGGGGGTGATTTCTCACTTTCTGTCTCTCTGTCTCTGTCTGTCTGGCGCGCGCATGCGCCCTATGGTGAAAACCTCTCCAAAAAAAAAAAAAAGCATCAGGGGCCAGCAAAGGCTAACGGGCTCTCAGCCTCGGGCTGTCTCCTGCTCAGCCATGTCTCCATCATCCACAACCTTCTTGCATCGCCCTGCACAAAGCTGGCACTCTTCAGCCCTGACCGGGTGCAGAGGATCTGGGTCCTGGCTCCTGCTTTGTTACAGCCCACCTGACCAAGGGTAAAAATGATACATGCATTACAAGACGACATGGCCGAGGCACAGGTATTTCAACAACACAGACCCTGGTAACTGAATCAATTGTCTGATTTATTTTTTCTTTAAGACAGTCTTCGGGGATTGAGAAAGAAAAGGCAAATGAATCTAACAATCATTTCTTCACTCATTTCCTGACATTTGGCATAGGACTCTATGATACATCTCAAAGTCACTTTATTCAGGGAAAACCTGAGCCGAAAGACTAAGCGTCTTCAGAGAGAACCGCATCACAGTGATGCGAGAAGTTGGCAGGGCCCTGTGTGTTCTGCCGGTCTGTAATCACGTCCAGGAGAACATTTCTGTCCTTTTTTTTTTTTTTTTTAAAGGCAATACTCTAGGGTACAGAAAAGACAAATCAATCAGAAGTCCTTTGAAAATTCCACCCACAGTGAATAAGGGAATATAAAAGCCAAGTAAAGCATCTGAAACTAAATTGTCACAAATGCTGTCAGATTTCAAAAATGAACTAGTTGTAGAGCCACAGAAGCATTTGTCTATCTACTCGTCTCTCTGTCCACCCATCCATCATCCAGCCAGGAAATACTATCTGGTGTCCAATCTGTGTCCCGCATTTGTGCTTGGTACGGGGAACAGAGGAGGGAAATGAACGGGACAGGAACCGGCTCCACACCTCACAGTAAGGGAAGACAGACAAGTCAAGGAGCGATCAGGATGCCATGTGAGGGTGCTGACACCAGGCAGGGCAGGCTGCCTGAGAGCAGAGGCAGGGCCATCCCATGGGTCCAAAGCCCGGGACCCATGGGCAGGCCACCTGAGTCCTCTAGCTCTGGCTGTGACTCTAGCTGTTAGCACTGATGACTGAGGAAAGGCCCTTCCTGACCCATGAGCCCAAGATGCTGAAAGACCCTTCCACCTCTGCCAGGAGGAAGAGCTGAAGCAGAGATGATCCCATCTCAAGGCTGGGAAGAGCCTGGAACTAAGCTGCTCCAGTGATTCCCATTTTAGAGATTCGCAGAGAGTTCTGGAACAGAAGACTGACCTGTCACGTGGCACAGCTTGCTGGTTGAACCAGCAGGGCTAGATGCCAGCTCATCACCTGCTTATTATGCCATTGGGCCAAACTCACTTTAAGTAAATAAAAGCATGGTAATTTTATTTATTTATTTGGGTCATTTATAAACCTAGAAGGTAGGTAAAATTAGGAAACCAAACTAAGGCTTTCCTTTTTACTCATCATCTTAGTCTCTGTTTTCTGGCCCTTTAATGCATTTTTTTTTTTTAGCTCTTTCATTAAAAACAAGAGATTTTTCCAGAGGCATATGGTATGGGAGTCACAGTTAAATGTGTTAGACTTATGATGTGGGGTATTTAGACCCTCAAGTTTACCAACTGAAAGTGGCTCCCAGTGACTTGATTTCTTTTTTCTTTCTTTCTTTCTTTCTTTCTTTCTTTCTTTTTTTTTTTTTTTTTTTGAGAGGTTTTAGCTATATGGTGTGTGCGCTCACCAGAAAGACAGAGAGAAACAGAGACAGAGACAGAAAGCAAGAAATCACCCCTCGGGGGGATGGTCACACCACAATCCCTTCTCCTCCATTCTCCTCTTGGGATCTTGGGCACGCATGCACATGCACCCAGTGTGTTTTAAGCCACTGGGTCCGGGACTCAAACCGTGGTCGACTACATGGGAGTCCAACGACATAGCCATTGCACCATCTGCTGGTCCTGTGACTTGATTTCTTTGAGTTAAAAAGAAAAAAAAAACCACATAGGGCTGGATGATGGTGCAATAGAGTAATATAACACTCTGTAAGGCCACATGGGAAAGTTTCAGGTTTCCATCTGGAGACCTCCCTAAGTACACCAAGCATGCATCCCTGTGACCTGGGACTGGCCAGAGCTGGGCATGGATGGTGGCATAAGGGCACTGTAAGGGGTGCTCATATCTCTCTATCTCTCTATGTGTATCTCTCTTGCTTATGGAAGAAAGAAAGAAAAGTAAATAAATAAGGGCTTAAGCACATCAAGTCTATCCCGTTGGACATGATAACCATAAAAAGTCATCTTTCAATGGTTGATGACTAATCTTCTTAGTTGTTAAAAAATTTAATTGGGACAATAAAAATATAACACAACTAGGAAAATTAAAAACTCTGGGTTGTCAGAAAAGTCATGATGCACTTTCGCATAGAAAAATATGTCATGACTTTTCTAATGACCCAGTAGATCATTGCCTCAGGTAATCAACTTAAGCAAAGTATGTGATTAAATTTCTCTTTTTCAGATGGTAAAATACCTTCAGAAAGGTAAGTGGATAAACATCTTCTAAGCTGAATCCAATAAAAAGAGTTACTTAAGATGAATAAGTGTAACATAAAGCCCAACGACTATAGTTAACCATGTTGTAGTGTATTCTGGAAATTAGCCAAGATACATTTCAGGTGCTACTACCACACATGCAATTATCTGAGGAAATGGCTGTATTAACTCACTCGATTGTAATAATTATTTAACTATATGTATCAAAACATCATGATTTACACCTTAAATACAGGCAATAAAAATAAATTTTAGAAAGAGTAAACACATATGTTTATTTATATAACATTCTTGTAAATTTTTAAAACAAATGATTATTAATGAAATGACACTATTTTGAATGTCCAAAGGGAGTAGGCTGAGAGTGACCAGAGAGTGCTAGGCTTTTTACACAGCAATTAGCCATAGGTAACGTGTTAGGGCTGAGTCTATTTCAGGAGATCTGCCTCCAGGTTCATGCGGTCATAGTGACCAGGGATTATAAAAGCCCCAAGAAAGGTCAGTAGGTCGTGTAGTGGTTACGGCACTAGATTCTCACGTGGGATACCACAATTCAAGCCCCAGACCCAGCGGTTTGAAATTCCCACCAGGCACATGTGCATATGTGCCCAAAATCCCAAGAGGAGAATGGAGGAGAAGAGACTGCAGGGTGCCATTCCCCCTGGAGGGGTGATTTCTCATTTTCTCTCTCTCTGACTCTCCAGTTAGCACACATGCCCTTCAGTGAAAATCTCTAAAAACAAAATTTTAAAAAAAAAAAAAACAAGCATTAAATCAGTAACTAATCAGTTCACTGCATTATGATCCCTTATCCCAACTTAGACCAGTCTACCATAAGAATTCAAGTAGGTCTGCTTAAATTTAGAAAAAAAGAAATGACAATGTTTTAAAAAGCCATTTCAGGAGCTAGCATGTGGCATGGTGGTTAAGGCAGATGGATTCCCACATGGCTGACCGTGGTTCCCATCCTGGGTGCGGTGGCTTGAAAATCACACCAGACACTTGTGCATGCATGCCCAAAATCCTGAGAGAAGAGGCGAGGACAAGGGATGCAGAGTGGCCATCCCTCCAAGGGGGGCAGGTATGATTTCCCACTTTCCCACTCTCCCCATCCCCTCCATAGTAAAAACCTAAAATATTAAATTAAAAAAGCCATTTCAGCTGCTCCTTGAGTTTTCATGGAGTTAGAAAGTAAACTAAACATTTTTGATTTATTATTAACTGTACGAGCAATGTGAATGTTTTTATGTAGGGAAGTAGAGCCTCAAGAGAAGTCTGTAGCCAGTCTGTAAACGTTCTGCAGGAGAAGCAAGGCGAGACTTGGCCCAGAGCATGAACTGAGACTCCAAAAAGGCTGCTAGCCCTCCCAGAGCTACGCAGAAACCGTACCAATGAGGATTTTGCTCATCTGGACCTGCTCCTTTGCAGAGCCGGCCTGCAGTCCTTGGTGGATCTGGTGTGCGGCCAAGTCAAAGAGGTCCAGATAGTCTTCCACAGGGTAGCGGTCTCGCAGTCCATCTCGCAGGCGGACGATTCCTATGAAAACCAAGAAGCAGGGGTTACTGAGGACAAAGTTGCCACTGCTGGGGTAGTGGCCTCTCAGAGAGGGACCAGAGAGGGACAGAAAGCCCAAGGGACCCAGCTGTAGCAGTGAAATCCTTAGCCAGGTAAGCTTCAAGAAGGGGCTCTGGGGACAGGGAGGGTTCTGCAAACTGGCTGCCCTCTTTCAATGAACGCATGCTTCAGTGGGTGGAAGATGCCACCACTGAGCTGGGCAGTGGCAGCTAAAGAAAGGCACACCTATTTAAGAGCTGTAAGTGTGTCTACTTGAGGGCCCAAGAGTTTGGGGCTGGTTAATGTGTGCACCAGGCGAGACCCTAATGTGGCCCAGCAACAATGGCATCCAGGGCACAGGACTGCGTCAAATCAGGCAAGGGGACAAAGAGCAACCAGTCAGGAGGGGCAGCACCCTGTCAACTCAGATGCCGTCTTCCTCATCAGGGCCTCATCAGCATCTCCCCGACCTGTTTCACCAACCAGCCTGACCATCTGTCCAAACAGTAAGGGGCCTCGATCACCCCCCGGACAGACACAGATTCTAGTGTCAGCCACATACAGCTCAAGTTTGCCCCTTGCCTTAAAAACTGCAGTACATTTCCCTTAAAATTGGAGTACATTTCACTTGCAGACATTTTACAAACACACTACCCAAAGCCACAGCTACTCCAGTCAATGGAAAGTAGAAAGAGAACCTCTACACTCAAAACAAGGAGAGTTCAAGGTGACACTGAAGACTGCATTCTGGGGGCACGCCCCGTCTTCCGTTGTTTCTACCAGGCAGAAGCTGGTTTCCATTAAGGGAACATAGTGAGCTGTGAAGGGGAGAGCACCCTATTGCAGACCGCAGGTTCAGACAGGTCTGGAGGGGAGCACACCCTATTACAGGAGGACAGTTCAGACACGCCTGGCAAATGTGCAAAGACATGAAACCTCGGTGCCTACCAGCTAAACTACAGAAGGAACATTTACACTTTTGTTCACTCCAGGGTGAACATCAAAAGGATGAAATCAAACATTTGTCAGGAAACACATTAAGAGCTGTTGTAAGAAAAACTTTCAAGATTCCCTTCTAGGCAATTAGGGTCTGTTAGCAGAAAACGCCCTCGTGGCCTGCCCTAACATTGGCGGGCAGCAGGCCATGGAGCAGCCCTTAGCTCCAGTGACCAAACGTCTCCTGGCAGGAGGAAAAGGTTGCCGAGAGGAAACAGTGACCTGAGGGCCACAGGGTGCCTGGGGCTGGGCTGAGGCAGAAACCAGCCTGCAGGGAGGGTTGCAGTGTTCATGGTCAACCCCATGGCAGAGAAGTGCAGAGAACAGGATGTCCAGAATTATCCGTGTAGTTTCTTGCATCTCTCTCTCTCTCTCTCTCTCTCTCTCTCTCTCTCTCTCTCTCTTTTGCCAGAGGCATTTTCGGTCATCAGTGAGAGAGAGAGAGAGAGAGACAGTAAGAAAGCTCCTCCCATGGGGCATGACCTCACCAAATTCCCTTTCCCATCTCTCCCTCCTTTCAGGATTTTAGGCACACCACACACACACACACACACACACACACCTGGTGTATTTCTCAAGCTGTTGGGTCCACGACTTGAACTGCATGGTTAGCCATGTGGGCCCCAGCTGCCTTAACCTCCACACTACTGGCTGGCCAATTTCGCACAGTAAGGACACATGAGGCACACACGGCAGGTCAGTGAGCTAAGGCCTGAAGCAGCTGGCTCCTGCAGGTGCACGGTCTCCAGCCAAAATATGTGAGAGCTGGAAGCCAAGGACTCCAGACCAAAGTGTTCTATCTCACTGACCCAGCCACCCGGCACTTACAGCTCACTGCTGGGTCATGTACCAAGGCTCCCCTGGGCAAAGAGCTGCCTGCTCTGTACCTGTCCCCTCACCCTGCACATAACTAGCACTCAATCAGTGCTCACTGGAGCTGGCACCTGGGTTCCAGACCCTGTTGGGACTTCGCCCGTGTGCTGTCTAGTGACAAGTGAATCGTCAAATGTCTGTGCCTCAGCATGTCTTCTCGTCTCACCTGCCCTGCCTCCCTTGCCTCATCCTTAGCCCTAAGATGTGAGCCTCCCAGCTCACCACTAGCCCTAATGTGTGTAAAGAAATGAGTGAATGAATAAAATGAGACAAAAGCCCTCAGACATGGTACTTACCAAACCGCTTCCGAGTCCACCAGTGTGGCTCCTTGATGGCAGAGAACTTCACCTCTGGGTGCAGCCGGAGGCGGTCATAGAGGTCGGTGGTCCCACACTTGGGCTGCCCGATGATATAGAAGTGGGGGAGGCAGCGCAGGCGGAAGTGCTTCCCATTGGCGTGCAACAAGTGGCCCCAGAAGGCCTTGCGCAGGACATCGAAGGTGGAGCGGAACCGCTTGGAGTAGAGGACATAGGAGTTTGTCAGGTAGGGGTCAGTGGTATTCCTCCCTGAGAATTCCTCATACCAGCAGGGACTCTTACTATTTGGAAGGAATTTATTGGGGATTATTGAAAACATCTGCAACAAGGAAGAGACAAAGGAGAGATGAACCAAGGAGGAAAAATCAACAAAAACACACTCTAACCATGGTGTGATCAAACCCTAATACCGATTACAATGTTCAAATCTGAAACACTGTATGACAATAATTTTAAAATAGACCAAGTAAAATTTTAGAGACAGCCAATGACTGTTTCTTTCCCCGCCCCTCCCCCTGCCAAAAATGCAGAGAATGAAGATGTAAGTTTAACCAAAATCCATTCTCCCACGCTTTATCTTTACATCTACACACACACAGCAATCTAATTAAACATTTGAAACCACTTTACCAGTTATATGTTTAAATTGCCATTAGAGACAAAACTACTCCTCATGACAGAATGGAAATAGGAAATCATATTGAACCCCAACTTCAAAATTCCAAATGACAGTGATGTGCAAAAGCAACTTTAACTGCCATGACCGTATTTCAAACAAGACATCCTGGCACACATTGTGTGTGTATGGGGGTCCTTAAACATTTTCTAGCTGTGCCACTCATGACAGCAAATTCCCGTCTTCATGTTCCATAGCATAAATAGACAGTACTCTCTCAGTGCACTCTGACCCACAGGCTGTCAGATTATGTTCTGCTACATCAGAGAAATGTTTTGTCACTTTCCTTCAGTGTTCTCAAAGATGGTGACCGAAAAGGAAGCCTCCATTTTCAAAAATCAGTTGAGATGAACACAAAGTTACTCACATGCAACTCTTGCTTCTTGAGATCTTCCAAGTCTGGGAGCTGTCTGGTTGTGAACTCAATCCTGGCTGTGATGCTGTTGATAATTAATTTAATGCTTGGATAGTCCTTCACATATGAAATGTTATTTACAGAGGGTTGGTGATGATGCTCTTTCATGTCACTTGGGTTTTCACCATCCATCAAGCTAGGATTGCTAGGGAAGCCTCCATAATGGAAAGGCGATGAGATCAGAAGCTCTTGGTGGGCCCCAGAAAGAATGTATGAAGCCATCACCAAGGTCATTATTATCAGTCCAAAAACAAGGCTACATCGCTTCCCCTTCTTAAAGCGCAAAAATCCACCCCAGCTGTCATTCCCTTCAGTCCTGACTTCGAGAACAGCAAGCAAGTTCATCTGCTTACTGTCCACGCGAAACAGAATTTTGTTTTCTCCCTTGCAAGTAGGGCACGCCTGGTGACAGTGATGGGGGCCTCCTCCTCGGCAGCCGATCTGCGATTTGTGTGTGTCGTCAGGTAACAACTGTATGCAGCAATTAACACAGTGCCTCATGGTAGTGCCCTTGGACTGTAGGCTTACAGAGCCATGGGCAAGCCCCAAGGAATCCAGATGCCTGCAAGGTATGCTGGAAAACCTTAAGGACGTCTTGCAATTACATAAGATGGTTGAAAGGCACAAATACAAAAATGAGCAGACACCCAAACACTAGGGAATGAGAAAGCACGTTCTTTGGTACGGCTCTAGAAGACACCAAAAGGAAGTGATTTCCAACTGTCATGTTCTATAAGAGCCACTGCAACCACGGAGAAGGCCGCGAGTTCAGGAGCAACTCTGCCTGCCCTTCAGGTTTTTCCCATGGCACAAAAAAAAGTAGGAGAATTCTTGCTGGAGAACATGGAAACACACAAGAAAGCTGAAGATATCATGGTCTTCTCAGTGCCAGATGGATCGGCATGCCACACATGGAGACATTGCAACGATTTCTATGTTTATATCCCGAGTTCTTCTGGAATGCTGCCTCTTCATGGAACGCAAAAGCTTAAAAATGCCAGACTACCTGAACAAAAGGAAAAGAAGCTTATTATATTTTACGATAATAGCAATCACCCAGGGACCATCTTCCGAGAGAGATAGGTGTCCATTCCTCTTTTCCACTTCTGTTTTCAGTCAAGACTGCTCAGTTACAAGCAAGTCACAGAAAAACATATAGATCGGAGGGCGAGGTTCCAGGTGCTCGTCCTGGGGGTTTAACCTCAGTTCCAAGCACAACAGCACCACCAGCACATCAAACACCTCTTATGATAGGTCTTCAAAAAGTTCTCAAAACATGCAAGTAGGAAAAAAGCCTGACACCAAAATAAATCTACACTTTAATTCCATTTTCCATCAATGCTCTCAAAGTCCCCTCATAAATGTCCACAACCCCACATGTCCTCTAAGGCCTTTACTTTCAGTTATGGGATCCCCAAATTCCAGGATTTTGCAGTCATTCTCAGATTCATGCATGGTCAATACATAGAAATTTGAATGACAAGTTGAAATACCAGTGTTTTTAAGTCAAGGAAGAATCTGAAGAATAGTAAGAAGGAAAATGGTTAAGATGAGAACAAGCAGAGAAAATCTATTTTTTTCCTTCCTAGTAGCATCAGTAGTCTCTTACCTAGAGCTAACCTTTATTACCAGTTTAGGAATCAAAAGTTAATGAAAATTTAGAAACAATGAAATGATCCTCTCCTTCAGCAGAGTCTATCATATGAAAAACCATTTGACTTTAAGTTATTAAGCAATTAAATCCACTGTACAGCATTCCCCTGAGTATCATAACACTTCAGACCCTAAAATAATTTTTCACTTTCATCATCCTGGGGAAGACATGATTCTTAAAAATCCATTAGTAGAATCTTGTGGTTATAAAATGTATTGTTGCCCAAATGACATTTCTCTGTAGATGTCATAAAAAGAGGCTCGGATGAGCATAAAAGGAGACCTGCATGGTTTCTAGCAGTGATAGACCAACACTACTTATATGACTTCGAGAAGACATCTGATCTCTCTGAGCTTTGGTTTTCTCACCAGCATAATTGGGTAATAAGAGCACCTCCCTAATGAGTTTGTAAGAGGTTACTAGATTAGCTAAAACATGTAAAGAGTTTGTATAATGCCTAGCATATATTAAGTACCCCATAAAATGTAGATAACAATAATAATAATACCATCACTAATGACTAGTACTGTTATAATTTTTGTTTTTTAATTTTGCTACAGGGCATGTGTGCTTGCTGGCAAGAGACAGAGACAGGGAGAGAGCGAGATAGGGAAAATGAGAAAGCAACCCCAAGGGATGGCCATGTTGCAATTCCTTCTCTTCCATTCTCCCCTCAGGATTTGGGGCATGCACACACAGATGTCAGATGTGTTTTCTCAGGCTGCTGGGTCTGGGACTTGAACTATTCCATCAGCCATGTGGAAGCCAGCACCTCAACCACCACACCACTGGCTGGCCCATGATTATGATTTTTAATTGTCACTGATTTTTGAATACCAAAAGTATTTGAAATCAAATATTGGAATCTAAAAGGGGAGATCCTATACTACATACTTTTCCTCACCAATTGAGAATTACCCATGGGTGATAGATTCACCTATAACTCTATACACACACCCAGAAATGATCCTTACTCCCCAGAAGATGGTATTTACTAGCCCTGTATTCAAGCCTCCATGTATTGGCTGAAAGAACAAACAATCAGAATGCAACAGAGGAAACATTCACTTCCTTTGGACTGAAAGTCTACATTTTCTGGAAATATTAATATGATGGACAAGACATAGCCAAGCAATATTTCCCAAAATGTCTTTCTGTCACAAAATGTTCTGCATGCTGTCAGTAAATGTTTGCCAGACAAAAAATGTTCTGCATGCTGTCAGTAAATGTTTGTGTTTAAAATCACTGGGAAAAAAAAAAATGGGATGGACGAAATTACATAGGATTCTTTATAGTAGGATTTTTCAGGGTCTTTAATACGCTAATAAGTCTTGTGGATCCACAGGAGAGAAATAGAATACACAGAATTTGCAAAATATAATTGGGCAAGGAATTTTCACCAAGGGCTCAAAGAACCCATTTGAGAAATGCTAGTCAATAAAGTATGAGATAGGAGTCAGGCAAAAGCGTGGGACAGTTCAAAGAAGGGCAGCAGAGGGGCAAGTGTGGAAGGAGACTGCTCAGGAGGCCAGGCCAAATATTTTGGGCTCCCCGCCCCCTCCCATAACCCTTAGGGCAGTTGGAGGGACATGTCAAGAACCACAAGGCTCAAACAAATCTCTGCTTCAAACTTGCTCAACCGCCCCTGACCCATCGCTTGGTATAAACAATTCTTCCAAACCAAAGAAACAAAAGGGCAAGATCCCCTACTTGGAAACTCCATCACTAAAGCCAAGAAAACATTTTTTCACATGTCGAGGACTAGGCTAAAGCCAGGTTCAAAATGAGACTCCCACCAGGAGCTCAGCGGGCAGTGAGTTTGCACCCTCTGTCTTTCTGCTGCAGAAGGTCTAATTAGATCCTTTAAAAAACAAAACATGGACTTTGAAGCTCTGAAGCAAGAATGTACATAATCTGGACCCAACAGAATAAGCAAAACATTCCTGAACAATAGAAGAGGTATTTTATTTCAAGCAAAGTAAATAAATAAGCAGTGTCAGTAGAGAAGAGACCAAGGAAGGGACTTCCCAACAAGGACAGCCAGAGCATTGTGTGCGGGGCAGCGGGCACCCTCCTGCCAGACAGGCCACTCGGAGACTCACTTTTTTTTAGAGAGAGATTTTTGTCATAGGACCATGTGATAGACAGACATGGGATAGACAGACACAAGCAAGATATTATCCTCTGGGGGAGGTGATGGTCACACACCAATCCCTTCTCCTCCATTTTCTCTCAGGATTTTGGGTATGCGTGCACCCATGCCTGGCGTGAGTTTCAAGCCACCAGGTCCAGGACTCAAATTGTGGTCAGCCGTGTGGGGTTCCACGGATGTAACTGCGATGCCATCTGCTGGCTCCTCTAGTCTCACTTCTTAAATGGAAAAAACTGGGGAAACCATTTGAAGTGCCTTGAGAGTATTAGGAGAACATTCAGATACAGTGTTTTCCACCTCCTATCATCCATCCATCCATTCATTCATTCACTTATTAATTCAACAAATAGCTTCTGAAGGTTAACTGTGCGCATCACAAAGGACTATCGCTATTATAAGTTTTAACTGTCAGTGACTCTGGTGGGCCCTAGATAGCGTCAGGATGGGGACTGGTCACCAGAAAGACTGAGTCTTGGTTAAAATCTTGGAACTTTCAGCCCTCTCCTTTTCCCCCTAATCTCTAGGCAGGAGAGAGAGGCTGGAGATTAAGTAGATCACCAGTGGCTGATGATTTAATTGATCATGGCTCTATAATGGAATCTCCTAAAAATCCCTAAAGGACCAGGTTCAGAACTTCCAGGTAGGTAGACACGTCGAGGTTTGGGAGGGTGGCATACAGGAGAGAGCATGGAAGCAACACACACCCCTGTCCCCGTCACCTGCCATACGCCTCTCTCATCAGCTGCTCCTGAACTGCACCCTTTACAATAAACAGAGAACCTAAGTTAAGCACTTTTCCTGAGTTCTGTTGAGTCATTCTAGCATATTATCAAGCCTGAGGAGAAGAGTGGTGGAGCCCCTTTTTTGTAGCGAATTTGAACAGAAATGTTGTCGGATACTTGTGACTAGCATATGAAGTGAAGACCGAGCCCTTAAACTTGCAGAGTTTGATGTGAACTCTGGTAGCTGGTGTCAGAACTGACTGAACTGCAGTTCCCCTGTGGTGTCCGGACAAGTGGAGAATTGGCTGGTATTGGAAAACACCTGGTGGGGATGGGAGGGTGCGGGGAGGCTCTCTCTCAGAAAACCGATAAAACTATCTTATGTTTCTTTTACCAAAACATACAGCCACTGTACAGAATGTATAATTCACCTCAATTGCCCTAATTTGAGCTACACATTGCATTCGTGTATTAAAAACTCACATTGTGTACTATTTATGTGGACGACTATTGTGTATCAGTTATAATTTTTTATAAAATACTAATCTTATGACCAGACGAATACATTGCCTGTGCCCTCGTAAGTGGAGTTCTGAGGCTTCAAGATCAACCCTCTCCTGACAAGCCAGGGTGCCATAGGGTAACCGAGAGAAAGAGGCCTTTTCCCCACCTGAACCTTATCTTCTACCAGGAGTTGTGGACTGCAGGGATACAGATCATAAAGAAGTCACGAATGAATAAGAACCTCTGGCACTGAGAGCTAGAAAGAACACAAAAAGGGAGAAAATGATAGAACCATGAAGACAGGGTTTTTAACACCACAAAGCAGTATAGGGCTGGATCCTGCTCTCCAGGCTACTCTGTGCACGGCAAGACAGCAGCACCCCTGACCTCCACTTACAGGTACTAGTAACACCACTCCCCAGAGACGTGACAACCAAAAACATCTCCAGACATTGTCCAACGTCCCCTAGAGGGCACGATCAGCCGCCAGCAAGAACTACGGCCTGCGGAAAGAAGAGTACTATCGGAAGTGAGGCCAGGAAAGCCCTCATTTCAGAGGGGGCTTTTGAGCTAATACCTGACAAGAAAGAAGCCAGTCATGTGCAGAAAAGGGGAAGCCGAAGCCCTGTGGAGAAAAGCTGAGGGAGTCAAGGTCAGGAGGACTCCTGGGAGGACAGACCCTCGGGGGCATGAGGCTGGCGTGGGGAGGAGGCAGGAATAGACACCACAGGTGATTGAGGGGGTGAGCTTCGTCCAAGAGCAAAAACAAAGGCAGACTTCACAGGCTTTCGGAAGGATCTTTACAATAAGTACCACTATTTAATAACGTAACTCAGGGAAGAAAAAGCCAATCACTGCAACTGTATTGGAAGCAAAATGGATTGCAGTTACATTCTTTAATTGGTCTTTTCCATTTGCCACGAATTTTCCCAAGAACAGTTATTCAGAAACCTAACACGCACACTGTTCTTTTA